AGCAGATGTGTTTTGCACAGAGGTGCCACGAGCATCTGTGTTCATTCCAGGCTGAAGGCATCACCTGGGCCGAGATTACCGCAGAGCTTTCTAGCCCGGTGAGTCACTCCCCATCAGCTTGGATCACAACCCTGGGGGCAAGATCTTGCTAAATGCCTGACAGGGCCCACTGCTTGTGGATTATAGAAATAGAAGTGATAAAAAAAGAGGCAATCCGAGGCAATCCGTGAGTCAGTGTGCTCAGTACAGGCTTGCCTTTTCCAGGCAGAAGGAGCCTTCACACAGGCACTGGAGCCCAGCACCACTTTGCAGAGTGGTTCTGGTGGGGTTTGTGCAGGAACTGCTGGCAATATTCTATTTAAAAGCCATGTGTGCCTAAGCAGTGCTTCAAAAGAAAAAGCCATTCACATTTGAAGCAGCAATCCATTTCACTGACTTAGACATGAGCAGGTTTGGATAGGTTTTATTTTTCTTTTTGGTGTAAAGCAAGAAAAATGTTTCCTCCAGAACAGTTTGTCAGGAACACAACAGAATAACCTCCTACTCCATCTCGTCCACTTTAACTGTCAGATTGTGATGTCCCCATCATTCAGCCACCAAAGGTGCACAGCAAAACTTGGCAGCTTCACTGTTCCTCTTCATGTCTCAGAGAGTTTAGGGAAACCCTCCAAAAGCTATGAATTTCTGATTCCCTTGGGAACTATTTGGTGCTTGAAATCTGGAAGGACAAGAAGGAAAACTCAAAGAGCGCTGAGGAAATGCTGAATAGATTGTCGAAGTAAAGAGAATTATTGCAGAACAGTTATCACTGTGAGGATAAGGACTAAATATTTTATCTGGCCAGCACCTGGGTTCTGCTGTAAAATTTGGCATACAGGAAAGAGTTGATCAACTGATCTTCTTTAGCACCAACCAAACCAAAGAACATCCTTTTTTTTTTTTTAACAAGATCTTGGTCCTGTCAGAATTCCCTTCTGCTATCTGAAACCAATGGATGATGTCTCCTCACCAGATTAGAAGCTGGATAATTCTGTCTTGTATTTTCTTAGTTCCAGCCCTGTGCCAGGTGTTCTGCTGGAGTGTTTTCTCTATGTATTAAACTGCTATTCAGTGGTAATCCCATATTTTGCTCTGCTTTGGGCTATATTCAGTGTTCCTTAGGTTTTGCTGATTCCTTTTCACTTCCCAAAGCAGGGTGACACTGAAGTGTCAATGTACAATCCTTGATGGATTTTCTGACCAAGGGATTCAGGATTGAATGTCGGACCCAATGATTTATGTCAGGCCGGAGATGCCACATCAGGGCATTTGCAGGCACAGGGACACTGACTTCTCCAGAGCACAGAATTCCTCAGGAAAACACACTGAAAAAAGTGAAAACACACACACACAGTGATTCCAGCCCTGCAAGATAATTCCCCGAGCGGCTGTAATTGCTCTCCTGGGGTGCTGCTTACTAAGGAAGAGCCGGCAAGGGTGTGCCTGCTGCTTAATTGCATGCTTGAACAAGGGATTAGAGTGAGCAGCAGTGTCATGTAAGGGGTGAAATGAAACTGGGAGAAAGCAGGACTGTTAGGTAAACCATCTCAGCTCTGTCAAAGTCAACATTTCCTGTCTGTACTGCAGCTGAAGGGAAAATAATCACCCGGGCCCGATGAAGTGCAGCCTGGTTGCAGGTGTAGCTGTTGGAATGGGCTTTCTGCCATCCCAGGCTTTTGGCATCCCCCGGCAGCAGGGGTGACTGAGTAACCTGTGGGTTTTAGATGTGTTGTTGCCACCTCCCACACCCTCTATCAAAAAAGGCCCCACCAAACTAATTACAGCAGTGATTAGAGGATGAGTCCCATGCTGGGTGATGGAAACTGATTATGATCCATGTCTCTAGAGATTGATCTGTTTTCCTCCAGGCAAAATTTAACCTTCACTCCTTAGTCAGACCCGCTGAACAGGAGTGAAATTGTGGGTGTCAGGCATGTGGCATTTGGCTAAAGGTAAAACCAGATTGATCTGATTTGCTTTTAAAATATCAGGATCTCACTTTTCTGTCCTCAGATTCTAAAGAGAATTTCAGACTTTTGAATTAGCAACTATGCAATTCTTCCAATCAAACTGCTTCATAGCAATCCCTCTAGTTGATCTCCTTTTAGATGAAGTAGCTTTATTCTTTCTTACCCATAAACGTTTTCAATCCTTATATTTAGAAGCAGGGCTTTAAGAAGAAATGAAGATGCTCCATCTTTAGGGAAGCGGTTGGTTATCATGCATATATATATATATATATGTATATATAATTAAAACTCGTAGACTTCTTAAACACTGGGAAGACAATTCAGCCCACAGTGAGTAGCACTTGCTCCAAAAGCAGTGGAAAAGCTGAGGACATCAGAGGAACTCCTGGGAAATGCAGAGAGCTGTGAGTGAGCAGCTAGTGTTGAACAAAGTTGGTTGGTAGAGATCCTTCCTCACAGGTTTTTCAGCTGTCACCTTACACAAAAAGCTGAGCAGGCCATCAGCTCCATTCTCCACGCTGAGCTACAGTCTTGACTCATCATACAGATTCTTATGCAGCTTTTACAAGTGAAAGTAAAGTATCTGAGTATGACGGTCCTGTCAGCCCTTGGATACAGCAGAAACAAAGCAGATGAGGCTGATTTGGGTGCTTTGGCACCTTTTGTTTCAGCAGCATGAGTTGAGCTGTGGTGTCACCTGGCCCTGCTGTTCCTCACCCCTTCTCCTGCAGTTGTGGGTTAGGTTTGATCACCTGAGATCTCGCTCAGAACCCAGCAAGTTCTTGCAGAGCAGTTAAATCCTGCAGTTGTTTTCTTCTTTCCCTAAAGTGACCTCAACAAACAGATTTCCTCCTCTGCTCTGCTGTGTGGCCTCTTGGCGTGATGTGTAATTAGGGATGACAGGTCCCAAGATTTGCTTTAATTATGATGGAATCCCAGACTGGTCTGGGCTGGAAGGAACTTTTAGGATCACTTTCTTCCAAACTCCTGCCATGGGCATGGACACTCTCCACTATCCCAGGTTGCTCCAGAACCTGGCCTTGGACAATTCCAGGGATGGGGCAGCCACAGCTGCTCTGGGCACCCTCAGGGAGGAATTTTTCCCCAATATCCCATCTAAATCTACCCTCCTTCAGTTTAAAGCCACCCCCCACTATCACCAAGTGTCCTTGTCTAAAGTCCCTCTCCAGCTTTCCTGAGGAAGAAAGGCATCACTTCCAGGGCTTCTGAAGAAATGCCAGGTCGTAAACATGTTTGGAATTACCAAAGGCATTCAGAAGACACTTTCAATTGCAGTTCTCTTGTATCAGTGGTAAAATAATCTCATTCTCCATAAACCTAGGAGTCCTGAATGAGCAGGAGCTCCATTCTTCTCTAGTCCCATTGTGTCAGGTCTGGAAACCAGTTCTACAGCAGTGTGTTACCATGGCTTTAAGGCCACTGAGGGGCAGAGGTGGAAGCCTGCTCCACTTCCATGCTGTCCCCTGCCTCAGAACACTGTGTGTCACTGATGTCCCTCCATCCCTCCTGCGATGGTGACAGGATTCTGCTGCTGTGTCAGCTCCTGAGACCTCTGTGATTGCACTCAAAGCACCCTGAGCCTTCCTTGCCTCCTCCTGCTCCAGAACAAGGAGTTATTTGGAGGATCAGGACAGCCAGGAGCCTGCCTCCTCCTCAGCCTTTCAGATAAGTGATTATTCACAAAAACTTTGCAAATATGTTGTTCTGGAGAGAGCCATACTTTCTCACTGGGACATTGCTGCCCCACACCATAGAAACGTATCAGAGGGGAGTGAAAACTAGCAGAGCAAAGATGGTCAGGGGTGATGTCTGTGCCCTCCACGTCACACAGACTGGCACTGTCCCACCAGGAAGCACCTCCTGCCTGTCCTGGGTTAATTCCACTGGCACTGTTTTACCCCAGCACGTTTTCTCTGGGGATTTGCTGCCCTGCTGTGCTGCTTACGTGGAGGAAGCAAAGGTCAGCTCTGCTTTTTGCATTAAAGCAAGAACTGTGCAGGAGGGTGGCTGTGCCCTCTAGGATTTGGAAAGGACCATGCAGAAAAACCTTGATGGTATTTGTTTTGAAACAATTTCTGCAATGGAGAACAGCCGCTCTTCCAAGGGAAACAATGAGAGGATCTGGAGCTTTTGGAGAGTTCAGTGAAACGCCCAGCACAGGCCTGGGGCTCCGCCGGGTATTTCTGGAGGTCAATGTCCCCAACACACAGAAATCTTCAGCACAGGGTTATTTTGGGTCCTTGCTAAAACACAGCCTCAGTGATTTTTTTATTATTTATTTTTGGATTTTAGTTTGTCATGCATGAAAATACTTACTCTTATGGCAGGTCCCATTACCAGAACACTGGCTTGAGAAAATTATCAAATTTGGATTATAAGGCACGTGAACTTTTTAAACTTATATTAGTATATTGACATTTGAAATCCCATCACTCTGATATAGTTCTGAAGTAATGAGCTATAAAATACCATTTTAACACAAAAATACACACTTTCAGATTCTATTCTTGTGCAAACAAATGTTCCAAAGTAATTCAGAATGGATTATTTTTTCAATGAAAGTAACAGTGGGCAATTTTAAAATATGCACTAAAGTTCTTTACTTATAAATTGATCTGGCAACAATGAAGAATTAGTTTTTCTACCAGGACTTCACTAAGATGATTAATTATATATGATTAATACCTTTATGGATAATTAGTAACACTGGAAGCAAGTTTTGAAAGTTCTGTTTCGTTCTCTTGATATTTGGACAAAAAAAAATTTCAATTGAAAATAAACCTACAATAAACTGGCAGGGAAATTTTCTTGTAGAAGAGAGCAATACATGTGAAAACTGTGTGGAAAATGTTTTCTTTTTGCTGAAACCTTGTTCAACAGCCCAGAGTTGTAGAGGTGAACGAGACTAAAACAAACACTCATTTTAAAGAGCTCTGCCAGTAAATAACTTACAAAACACCAGAGGTTTCCAAAAGAGTTTAATAAATAATGAGGTTCTTTCTGTACTGTATAAACTATAAATATACCATGCAGTCCTTTATAACTTAAAATAATTTACAGGCTGAGGTAGGGGGGTTGGAGGGCGTGGGCTCAGGGCCTGGCCGCCTTCCTGCTGAGCACGCAGACGCAGGCGGTGTCGATGCGGATGAACCTCCAGGCCGCCTGCTTGCCCTCCATGGTCAGGGCCTTGACGAAGGTGTGGGTGGTGGTGCAGTACGAGTTCCAGTGCTTGGCGTCGATGCCGCGGCACCCGCCCGACACCGGCTTGGGGTCCCTGCACTTGGTCTCGAAAAAGTACTGCTTAAAGACGTTGTTGTTGATGTTGACCTCGCCCAGCACCGTCACCTCCTTGCCCTTGATGTCGGTGGCCGTGGTTTTGTCCCCAACCCACATGCTGACGCTGTCGCACACTGAGAACTCCCCGCGGTGCAGCACAGGGTGCGTGCTCCTCCTGCTCCTGGCAGTCCTGTTGAGAGCCCCCGTGCTGCTGAGAAATCCCAAATTCTGGCCCTGCCCTGCCACCGGCGGGGGCTCCGTGCTGAACAGCACCCGGGGAGACCGGAAACGCCGCTTCCGAAAGATTTTGGGGTCCACGGTGATGTTTAGAGCTTCTCTCCTGCCGAGGCTCCACGTGGCGTGGCCGTGGGATGTCTGCGGAGCCTCCTGGGCAATGTGGGGTCGGTCGCTCCGCGTACTGAGCAGGGAGTGTTCTGCAGGAAACTCCAGTGGGGCATTGTCCTCTGACTTGGGAGCTGCCTGTGTGCCGATCAAAAAAGCTGCAGTCAGAGTGTAGAACAGCATGGGCATTACGTTCTGACCTAGAACGAGAGAGAAAGGCACTGTTACTGCAGTCAGAGTGTAGAACAGTGTGAGAATTACATTCTGACCTAGAATGAGAGGGCACTGTTACTGTAGTTAGAGTGTAGAACATCATTTGGGCATTACGTTCTGACCTAGAACAAGAGAGAAGGGCACTGTCACTGCAGTCAGAGTGTAGAACAGTGTGAGCATTACATTCTGACCTAGAATGAGAGAGAAGGGCATTGCTACTGTGAGCCAGGTGGGCACAAACCGCTGCTGTTCTGGCCATCCATTTATCAGATACCCAGGATCATACGGATTTCATCAGGTATTCATGTGAGTGCCAGATGTTGTTCTTCCGGAAGAGCTCATTCAGACAGCATCAGTGTTCTTAATAAAGCGAGAACATTAGAAAATAATAGCTAGATTATTATTAATTCCTCTGGTATTTGTTGTTAGAGCACTGTTTATGAAGCACTTGTTTGGTGTTATTAATGTGGAGACCATATGGCGACAGCATGTTCCCAGGAGTCAGATCTCTAGTGAGTTTTGCAGCAACCTTTTTGGCCTGGGCTGGTCTCTTGGCTGCACAGGAGTGAAAGTAGAAGCAGTCCCTTGGCTAAAACAGCTATCCATTCCCTAAATTTGTCTGCAGAGGTGTTCTTGGGGCTACAGTGGGGGCCACCAAGCCAGCACCTCGTGCCATTATCATACCCTCAGCAGACACACTCACCTGCCACGTGGCCAGGCCCCACTGCAGCTGGCTCAGCAGCCTCCAGCAGCTGCCTGCTCTCCCAGCTGCCCCTCCAGGACACACCACATCACTGAGTTAGGGCAGATAAAGCCCAGGCTCCTTCCTCGAAGAGCTCAGGTATCTGTGTCACAAGGGCAGATGGGATTTTTCCACATTCAAGGGCAAATATGGGAGCACTGTGGATACCAAACTACCTCTGCTTAGATACAGCACAGCTGTGTGGCCAATGTACTGTGAATTCTGGACAGAGAAACACCTGGTTTTTTTTCAGAATACCACGAGCAAGAAGTCCCCAAAAGTCCCTGCAGAGCAGATGCAGTGACAGTGCTGGTCCTCCTTCAATCCAGAGGACAGGGACATCTGTTTGGGTGTGGAAAAGGGCAAGCCAAATGTCTAAACCTTTGCTAAGACCCATTTCATGCTGGAAGATCAGCAGCACCAATACCTCATTGGGCAACTACCAGAGCTGACTAATTCAGCCACATGTTGGGAATGAGAGACATTCAAAAATGCTCCGGAATTGCAGTGAAGGGCAGACATTGTGTTTCCTCTGTAAAGACTTAATAAGAAGAGACAGGGTATAAACAGAAAAGCCCGGGTGAGGCTCCTCCCCGTCTCTTTGCCTTGTTTTCCTGACATGTCTCAGCTGGCCCCGAGCTCTGCCGTGGCTGGCCAGCAGGCAGGGAGCCCCAAAGCCACTGGACAAACAGGGTTTTGTACCAGAGGAATTGGGCTCTGCAGTTCCACTGTGATTTCCCAGAATTTCTCTGTGTTTTTTCTGGGTGTGGGTCAATTATGGTTGCAGTTCCCCCTCTCTGTGGAGCTGTCTCAGATTAGACTCCCAAGCAGCACTAAAGGACTCGACCGGGGTGCTCTGCCAGAGCATAATCCTGTGGAAAATGCAGAACAACCCTAAGATGTCCCACAGGATCTCGTGTGTCTTATCTCAGACAGGAGCTGAAATGACATAAACAGCAAGGTTTGTGCAGGGCTGAGCAAACATTTAAGGAGCCAGCAGGAGACACCAAGTGAAGGCAGTGACTGAGGAGGGGAAGCAGAGCCTGCATGGAGGGGAGGAAGGAAGAGAAAGGCCAGAAGCCGTGTGAGCACTTGTCTGTGCAACTGTTGAGCTGGAGGCACTGGGGACAAAATGATGACGAGGAGAGTCAAATGTTTGTCACAGAGCAAATCCTTACTGTTCCAAAGGCACTTTAATTTGTTTAAAGCAAGGCTGAGGGTTGCTGCTTTCCCACGTGCTGCTCGTGCTGGAGCACTCGTCATCCTCTGTATAAGGAAACAGAGCTGGGTGTAGCTCGGAGCTGGGCTGTGCACCCTGCAGAGAGTAACCCCTTGTTCCACAACCAAACCAAAGTCAGATGGTTCATTATATCTCTCAAGAGTCAGCTTTCCCAACAGAAATGTTAATGGAAAAGGTTTGCAGAATAAAATCCAGGCAGAATTTAGCCATGCCAATAGGAGCCTCAGTGTATTGCGTTTATGCATAAACCCCTTTTTTATTATTTCCTTCTATAGGAAAGAGATGCTGCAATGTCAGCAAAGAGCTGGTTCTGGTTTTGTGCTATACAAGATTTGCTGCTGTGAAATGCAGCTACATTTACCTCCCTTCTCTGGGTTTCTTGTGTTGCCTGTGCTGAGATTTTTGATTTAAGGCCATTAACACAAAAGCAGAAAGATCTTGCCTGCTTGCCTTTTTTCTGTAATTGCCTTGTATTTCTTCTCCTTGTGCTAAATCATTATGTGGAGTATGGTCAAAACACAGACAGAACATATTTGGGGTACATGGTAACTTTTCTGAAGATTCCAAATGGACTATTTTTATCAGTTAGTGAGTTAGTGGAGAATAGAAAGTTACACATTAAAAAAATGAACTCAACTTGATGACAACCCAGGCAAGAGAAGTTAATATTAAAGAACAGGTGTGCCTTGGGCTGTGAGGGTTGTGAACTCTTTTGCTGGCACACAGAGGTATTTTACAGGCTATTTTGGGGAGTTTTGGGGTGTCCCTGTCCATGGCAGGGGGTTGGAACAGGATGAGCTTCAAGATCCCTTCCAACCCAAACCATTTTGGGATTCTGTGATTCTCTCTCCAGACTTTGTCTCATAATTAGTTATTAGAACCTTGGATGGTGCTTTGTGGAGATGCTCACAGTGGATGCCTCGTGCAGCCACCTGCACTTGCAGGGGATGTGCAGCTGCCAGTTCCAGTGCTGGGGGTCCACAGTGTCTGATGGGAACCCTGGGCACAGAGGTTATCACAGGCATGGTAATGCCAAAATTACACCACCTGTGCCAACCCCACTTGGTGCTGGGCAAGTGTCATTAACCCTTCCTCTGGAGCAGCTGCAGTGGGAGCCTGGCCAGGGGGGACTCCAGGCTGCTGTGGCAGCGGGTGCTGGCTTACCTCTGCGTGGACTGCACGAAGAACTGCTCCCCCAGCAAGGTCCTTACTTCATCCAGAGCTGAGCCGGGCTGGGCTGCACCTTGCCATGGGGCCCTGCTGCTCCTGCCAGCTGCGTGTGCCACGGGTCACTAGGGCAGAAGGGTTGGTGTCAATAATCAGCCAGCAAATCAGTGTCCTCGGTGCCATTCCCATTCCCCCCTTGGCAGCAGGAGCACAGGGACAAACCCCCTTGGCTTTCTGAGCTGTCCTTTTCCCTGTCACAGCACCAAGCTTGTCCAGACTTTGCAGAGCAGCACATAAAGACAGGGCTGCCTTTATTCAGCACCTTTGCTAGACTGTGGTTATTTTAGAGTGGTTATTCCCACTCCTCTCAGGCACCTTCCAGGCTCAGCAAACCCAGGAGTGGGGCAGCAATACCTGATGGCACTGCTCAGCAGCCAGGCACAAAACAGGGCTCATGGCCCCAGCATCTGTTCTGGGAAGCAAAATTGGTTGCAATTAAATTCAGGAGGAGAATCACAAATTGGCATTTATTGGCAGACAATTATCTGATTGTGGCTGATATTTGAGAAGAATTAAAGACACAAAACTCACAGGCACATAAAAGTAAATACTTAGGTGTTTGTTGTGTTGCTGCTGTAAGGGCAGCAATGACTCCAGTCTTAATCACTACGTTGGGAATGGTCATCCAGACCCCAGCTAAAGGAAAACCATTATTTTCTTCTTCTTAAATCTTCTTTCTTTCTTCTTAAATCCAGCACACTGACACCTTCTCAGCAAAACACATTTTCTGATTGTAAATTCATGTCACTGAATGAGATAGAAGTAGTATTTTATTAATCTTATTATTCAATAGCTTATCTGCCCAATTTCATAAGGGAAGTAGGGGTTGTATAAGGTCAATAGGGGTTGGATAAGGTACTCCTGTACTGCAGAAATCCTGCTGCATCAGGCTGAAGTGCATTTGCTAAGGAGAACAAGCTGCTAACCAAAGCATGAATTGGACTCACTTTCCACCTGCACAGTCTGTCAGTGGGAGCACTGGCTGCCAGCAAAGGCAGCCACTAGGTTTGGCTCTTACAACACCCAGGTGCAACTTACTTGATGTTTAAACCTCCAGCTGAAACCTTCGCAGCCTGTTTCCATCAGTGCAGGGCACAGGAGTCACCCTGTTACGTGCACAGTGGTTTGGCCACTGCTGTGGTCAGGCTCTCCCTGGGTGTAGCAGTGTCTGGGAGCTGAGCTGGTTGCACTCATATCAGCGTGTCAGAAAGGTCACACAGAGTTTCAGAATCCAGAGCTTCATGCTACAGATGGAGCATGCTGTGTTTTTGCAGGAATGTACTGGTGAAGTAATAACCCTTTCAGTGAACTCTGGAGAGTTGAGTACCAGTAATGATAGAGCTATAATGTGCTGGCCACTGCCAAAAATAATCCAACAACTTTTCCAACTGTTCTGCCACCCTAAGAAAACACTGTTTCAGTTCCAACTGGCTGGTTTTTAACCACAAAGGCATTTATTTTCAGCAGGACTTTTTTTTAAAAGTTCTTTTACTGTCTTTTTCCCGGATTCCTGGCTGTGGTGGAATCCAGTAAATGATGCAGTGTTATTCAGCATCCATAGACTATTCCTCTGTTCTACCACTCCCAGACATTCATAAAATATCCTACTGAAGTGAGTCTTTCTTCAGGATTTACCTGTATACAGGATGACAGACTTGGTGGGTGAAAAAAAAATCTCACTTCAGTCTTATTCTTAGTCTCAGCACATGCAGAGTAGAATTAAAGAGTCCCAGGTTGGTTTGGGCACAGGGTACCCAGAGCACTGGGGCTGCCCCTGGATCCCTGGAAGTGTCCCAGGCCAGGCTGGATGAGGCTTGGAGCAGCCTGGGACAGTGGAAGGTGTCCCTGCCATGGCAGGGGTGGAATAAAATGAGCTTTAAGGTCTCTTCCAACCCAAACCATTCTGGCATTCCAGGATTCCATAATTCTGGAGAGTGGGGAAAAGGATCATATCAAATAGCAAATTGTTCTGTGTCTTGAAAAGCTCTTTGCTTGCAGGACCTGTAAGTGCAACAAGTGCCAAACAAAATATGTTTAGGGAATTCCCCTTTTGTTAAAGTTATCCACAGAATCCAAGGAAAAAATGGACAAACAGGGAATGTTGCCTGGAAAGTCATTAGGCATGAAAATTTAATAAATTTACTAAATTAATTGTTTCCCATAAGAACAGCAGTCAGTGCAGCCTTCTCACTGCACATTGACCAGATGCCATTAAAGCAGCTCCTACACTGAGAAAAGATAAATTAATGCTCATTTGTCTCAAACACAGTAAATTATTTTCTAAATAAAAATAAACATAGTCAATAAACATAAGCATAGGATGTAATCTAAGGCATGATACAATTTGGAATGTTGTTTTCTGTCATTCTTGAAATTGTTGGCGTATTTAGGGATGTGCAAAAAATAAACAGAACTGCTTGGCTGTCAGTGCAGCAAATGGGATCATGGAGGTCACCAAAATAAGCAACAAGTAGTGAATTAGTTTTGTCTCATTGCTTCTGGTAGTGAGAGAGAAATGAGGGAGGCAGCTGCTGCTGAAGTTGCTGGTAAAGAGAAGGTACCTCTGGCACGTCTCTCCTGGAAACATTTTCACCGGTATACGAGTTAGATGAATTAAAATTTAGCAATAGCAACTCAGGGAAAAGATTTCTGAGCCCTGGGAGGCCTTGAAGGGAATCCTGAAGCCATTATGACTAAGAGCAGTGTCAGAGGCACAGCTTTGCCTTGATCTTAGTTGATGAGCAAGAAAATGGGAATCTCTAAAGGACCCAACATTTCATTCCTCCATTATATCTGCACTGACTCAGCCTGTAAATAAGAGGTTTATGAGTGCTGGAGAGCCAGCTGGAAGCTACCTGTGTCTCATACACTTCCTTTTTTTTTTCTTCTTTTTTCCAAATGCCTCCAGCACTGAAATGTTCCTTTGAGGATTTCTAGAGAGAGCAGTAGACTGAGAAAAATTCTGCCCTGCAGCAGGGAGCACCATGGTGTCACCGTGATCCTCCTCGTCATCAGCATGTGCGCCCAGCATCTGCCTCCAGAGCTCTGACTCAGCCTCAGCCCAGGTGAAGATAATAACAGGGATGGTTCACAGCCCTTTGAGCCTCTGGGAATTTGGGGTGCTTAAGGGAGAATTGCACCATGAGTCTCGACCCATCCCTGGAGGTGCTCAAGGCCGGGTTGGATGGGCTTGGAGCAACCTGGGATAGTGGAATAAATATTCCTGCCCATGGCAGGGGGTGCATTCAGGTGATCCTCGAGGTCCCTTCCAACCCAAACCATGCCATGATTCTGTAGGGTGGGGATGCACCAAATCCAAAGCCAGTGAGGCTTTGGAAAACATTTCTTAATCTTTATTCTATATTTATTGGGGTATAAGTAATGGAAGTGGCTTATTTGCAAGGGCCTAATTTTATCCCTTCTTTCATCCTGAACCAGTGCATCGATATTTCACTTGCTGGTGTCTCTGTAGAGAAGTCCAAAGAGAGGAAAAGAAGTGTTTTTCCCATCACCTGCATTGATACCCCATTCCCTCAGAGCATTTGGTGCTGAGTGAGGCCATCTGCTGGGAGAGATCCAGCCTGGAGCCACAGCTGGAGGTTTCTGACAGGAGGTGACAGCTCTGGTGACACGGGACAGGCACAGCTCACCTTTAGAAACCTCACTTTAAAACTCCTGAGTGGTAAAACAAAATCAAAACTTCTAAGAAGATAATAATTTGTTTTGCTTCTCAAATTTCTTTTACAATGTTTGACATCATGATACTCTGGCCTGTAGAACATGCTCATGGGAATTCAGAGGCATCAACAGCCATCTAAAATGTGATTCCTTTGGGAAAAAACCCATGATCTTAGGTCAGGGTGGCCATACCAGTAAAGGCTGTGACAGGATGCAGCCCTTGCTGTGACAGATTGGCTGTTAGCGAGTGTTAAACATGCACAGAGCCACCCTGACAGAGCAGAAAGCTTTATCCTGCTGCAGATAACAAAACCAAACTGACAGTTATTAAATAAAAGATAAAGAAATTGTCTCTGTCAAGATAAAAGTCTCTTTAAATAAAGTGAAGGGAAACACATCACTTACAAAACTAGTGACAAATCTGAAAATAAATGACAGAAAACAGCTTTTGGAGCAGCATGTGAATCTGGTTCTCTTGAAGTCAATGACCTTAATGGCATAAAGCTGGTAAATTAAATGAGCTAGAAATAAAAACCCTGGCTAAGAGTAAGTTATAGGAACATACCAGGGTTGTATATCATCCCTATATTATTATCCAGAAAGCAGATCCTAAAGTAAATGATTGACATGTGATGATTGCTTTGGAACTTTCCATATCGCCTTGGAGCTGAATATATATATTTTACAGGACTCCAGGGTTTCATATATCCTAATTCATAGGCACCAAGGAGTGACTAAAGATCTCAGGCACTAACTGAGAGGAAAACTACTGCAGGATAAATGGGATAAATCCATCCATATAAAGTTAGATGCCTCCATCCTACCCAGCTGCAGCCAGGATGGGATTGCTGCTCCCTACAATTCCTGTCCAAACACAGCAGGACTCATTCCCTATTGCTGCTTAAAACAGTGAGGCCAAAGACCTTCCTGAGGCTGGAGCATGGCTTGCCCTTCTCCTCTCTACACCCTTCCCAAATTGATTTAAATTTGGGAATAGTTGGCTTGCTATATTTGGTCCTGAGGTTTCCAATACAAAATTACCAGGAATGAAAGAACTGGAATTTCAGACTTCACAGCACTACCAAAATCAATCTGGAATTCAGCTGGGAACAGAAAGTATGAGGGCAGTCAGACTGTGATGTTACATCCCCTCTTACAGCCAAGAGTAGTTAAGGCAGAAAAATACAATATCTTTAGGGCCAGTAAACCTTTCCAACTAGTGATCTTATTCCAGCTATTCAGAAGGGAATATAAATCCTGATTATTTTCCAAACCCTGATTAATAAGAACCAGCTGAATCCCAGCAGCAATGCTAGCATTTCATTTTTATTCAGGCTCATCATTTTCATTTACAGTCTCCTTTTTCACTTTTCTACAACTGCACTAATAAACTTGAACACAGGCGATTTTCAGCAATTGCACATGTTGTAGTATAAGGCGTGAGTGTTGTGATTCCAAAAGTGAGGTAGAAAACAAAAATGAGCTGGGATGTCATGATCACATTCCCAAAGGTAGACTCCATCATCTTCAGTGTTTCTCTGGATCATGAATTTGGAAAAGAACATTATGTAAGGACAAGGAGCAGCCATAAATTATGGCCATGACTTTTCAGGCTTTCCTGCTCTATTAATTATTTACATCCAAAAGGAATTTTATCTTCTACGCATCTTGCAGTGTGTTTACAACTGTTTTCAATGACTCAATGATATTTTAATAGGGCAGGAATTCTGAGAAGTTCCAAAGGGAAGATGAAGGGTATCTGTGCTTGGCAAGTCAGAGTACAGAAGGATGCAGCAAAGGATAAAGTTGAGAGAACTTTCAAATCTCTGTTCTGAACCGAGGGCCTGGCTGCACCTGATAAAAAGTTCTGTAGCTGGAGCAATTCAAACTGATGTGCTGGATTTTAATTTTTTTTTTCCATTTAAAAAACCCTTAAGGACATAGACAAAAATCTACAAAATTAAATCTTATGACGTGGAGGTGCTCTTGTGTTCACTCAGAGTGCTGAGATAGGGAAGAAACAGTCAATACTGGAATGGAATATTGCTTTGCTTGTGTAGGATTTTTCCATCCAGAAATGTCGGGTGGTTTTACAAACACTTAATAAAATGATCCTCCCCACTCGCTTATGGTCAGTAGAATTTACTTCTGTAGCATGTGAAGAACCCAAAGAATAACACAGGATTCCTGCCAAGCAGTAGCAATGTTCCTCTTCTCCACTGCCCACCTCCTTTTGGTATTTTTTTAAAATTTCTAGGATATTCCTTCCCATTCTTAAATCTATTTTACTTTCATGAGACCTAAAGAATTCAATTGCCTTCTTAGGAACTGAATAATGATTGCCCTCTCTTATTTTACATTACAATAGGAAAATCATGTCAAAAATCCCTAAAATGACACCTTTAGAAATCAAATTCCTTATTTCTATTGCAGCGGGAAATGGATATTGACCCCAGACCAGTCACAGTCATGCTGTGCCCTTCTTACTATAACTCACAAGGCACAGGCATGATACTTTGAACTACAGAAAAATGTTAATATTTTTCCTTAAACCAACATACCCCAAGGTGAATTTTGTGTACAAAAAACCTGAATCATTGGGCTGTTGCTCATTAGCTGTTTGATTTATGTATTCTTTAACATATGCTATACATTTGAGAACTATATTTCTGTATTTTCTGGACAACTGGACATAAGCTTTGTGTCCTGCTGTACAAGATGTGATCTTCAAGATTTGGGCAGATATTTGTTTGTCTGCTCATTTCAAAGCCTGAGTTTTTTCTGCAGATTGTAAAGGTGTTGTAATGCTCAAACCCTTGTACTCCACCTGCCTTTCCCATTTGAAATTGAGTTCAAAACAATTTCTTCAGAATTCCTAAGCACTCCACTACAGAGGTGTGAAATACAGTGGGTTTTAAACTGAGCAGATGTAAATAAATAGTGATATAGTAATATATTATAACAATAAAAATATATTAAGTAACAATCTTAGTGTTAAATCTAAACTGAGCGAATACTTTAGTTGGGTGCAAGAAAAACTTTCAGCTTTGAAGTGTTTTTGCTACTTGCTGGTGGCTTAAAAATTTAGTTACCAAAGAGGTGGAAAAAAGGGTTTTCTTTCCCTGCACAGCAGGAACCTCTTAGATGTGGTGTAGTTTTGAAATGAGAGGGTAAAACCTCCTAAGAAACAGGGTAGAAATTTCCACAAAAAAATCTGGAAACACCACCAAATAAAACAAAGTAAACCACAGAAACACTGAGTTATCAGATTGCAGTGTCATCTTGTAATGTTCTCTGCAAGCACAAGTAGTTCTTGCAGGAGAAATAGGAGTCTCCTGTCATCTGGGGTAGTTTACCAAGAAAAACATGAGGTTTTTACAATTGCTTAAACCTTTCAGATATTCCTTCTAATGTCAGAAGAAGAAAACTAGCAAAGGGGGTCCCACCTTGCAGCTCCTGCACTCCAGACAATGGTGCTGCATCATTTTCCATGAAGAAACAGGGCTGGTTTGTAAACTCTGCTGCTGGAATTCTTACCCCTGGGCTTTCACAGTTTGTATGTCTGTACTCAGCACGTACTGAGGATTAAAACCTGCTTTCTGTGGAAGTGTGTTGACACCATGCAAAATGCTCCGTACCTATATTTTCCCCTGTATGTTTTTCTGAGCTCAGCCTGAGAGATCATCTTGATTCCTTGGCAGCAGAGTAAGCCACTGCAAAGCACAAGTGTTCAGGATGTTTGGGAAACTGATCCTATTTCTTCACGTGCTTTTATTTGCCTTATTGTCCTTATTTGTTCATTGTATTTTAGTGTCTGCATGCCTCAAGTGGCAGAAAAACAAGAGTGGTTTTGCCAGTGTTTGTAATCCATGTGTGTACCAGCTCCTTCTGTCTTTACCAAAACCCTTTTCTGTACCTTTCCTTATGGAGTGGACGGATTAAAAAGCAGCAGGAGAGACAGCCATCCCTAAAAATCTGTTCTCTGGCTCTCTCACTCCTGCCCCTGCTCATGCCTATGTGTTGACATCCTCTGTTTTGTTTCCTCTCCAGCTCCAAGTGCTGCTCCACGTGCTTTCTGACTCCTTTATCTGCAAGGCTCCTGCCTTCTCCTGTCACACATTGAGTCCAGCTGCCTCAGAGCTGCTGCCCCACACTGCCTTCTCTGCAGCACACGTGGGACCTCTTCAGCATCTTGGCTTTCATCTGCTGTGGAAGGTATTTACTCCTTGCTGTGTGATTGTTTTAACTCATTGCTGCATTAACTCACAATGCCAGACAACTGCTGGCTACTCTAAAGACGGGTGGTAACAAAATGGGAGGGATTCTGTACATAAGCAACAAAATATATATGCAGAGAAACTAATCCAAGTAGTGTTTCCTTGTGCTGAGTTAGCAGAGAGATTCATTTAGGTGTTACTTCATTCCTATGCTCTGAGAATCTCAGCTCTCCTTCAGATGCCACCCCAGCACCAAACCTGCCAGGCCAGAGAAGCACAGCCCAAACTTCAGCTCTCAGCATCCCGAGTGTGTCAGGCAGCTGCTGCACGACAAATCTGCTCATGCTCCCAGAGAGCAGAGACAGTTTGAACTGGGGCCATATTTCAGCTGGGCTGCTGGGCACAGACCCAGCCGGCAGTGGGGAGTAGGAGTTTTCCATCTTTGTATTATGTCAGAGTCTGAGGGGAGGCAGCTGCTGTGGATGTTTTAAGATAGGAGGTTTTTATTCCCTGCTCAGCCATTTAAGGTGAAATGAAATTTAAGGTGACATTTCAATGTGGGAAGGGGTTTGTTTGTCTGGATCTTGAACCTCTGGAGCCTGACAGCTCTGGAATATCCTCACCTCACACAAAGCTTGAAGGGTTTAACACGCAGAGCAGTGAATGATGCAGCATGTAGGACGTCCTCCCTTGCTGGGAGCCTGCAGCTGTCTCTGGAATAAATGTCTTTGAACAGCTCCCCTGGCCACACAGACCCTCTGTGCAAAAGGACAGCTCAGCAGAAGAGTGTCTGTAAAGGAAAGATCAGATCCTGTCCTGTGCTGTGGGAATCCTTCAAGCACAGAACAGAGAGCAAAGAAGTTTAAATGAAGTTCAGCAACCTTTGCTTAAGAACAGGAAACAGGGAGTTGGACTGACCTGGCAGTCTCAGCAGCTCTTATAAATGTGTTTGGCAACTCGCTCATGTGAGGAGGATTTGAAGGGTCTTTACATTTTCTGGCATCATCTGGTGGTTGAAAGCATTTTTGCTTCAGTACAAATGATAATGGGAAAGATGCCTCTTTTTCCTTTAAACTGCCCTTTAGTGTTTCTACCATATTTTCTAGAACTCTCTTTGGCCCTGCTCTGAGTCTGGACAGCTCTGAATCCCTGAATTGCAGCACAGTGCTATCACTGATAGCATTGGACATCTCTGAACTACTCATACTTCATCTTTCTGTGGGGCTCACTGACTTCCCTGTTGTGTGGACTTGGAAATTAGGGAATTCCTATAAAAGTAAGCCAGGATTAGAAGATTACTGTTCCTGTGTTTACCAGCATATTAGTTTCCTCGTTAACTTTTATTATATTAGATATTAATATTTTTTTTCCCATTTCCACAGTGAGAACAATCAGTGGATTAAATGTGGGAACTCTTGGACTGGGAGATTAAACTGATGTAATGAGTCTCCTCAACCTACATTCACCAAAACAGACTTGCAGAAGCTGATTAAACAAAACTGTCTCATAGTGCTGTGTCACAACCTCAGAGAAAATAGGGGGAAGGAGTGAGGGCAGGAGGGGCTTCTGAAACCTGTGGAGTGGTACCTTCATATGGCAAGGAGAAGCTGCAGAAGTAAAAGCTTTGTAAATATAATTTCAAGGCTGCACCTGGTAAGGGAAATATAGCTTGAAGTACACAGGATCATTAAGGCTGGGAAAAACCTTTAAGATCATTAACACAGCACTGTCATGTCTACCACTAAACCATGTCTCCAAGCACCACATCTACATGGTTTTTTTAACATTTCCAGATATTCCACTCCACCAGTGCCTTGGCAAGCCTGTGGCAATGGCTTCAGTGAAGAAGTGAAGAAATTTTCGCTAATATCCAATCTTCCCCTGGCTCAGCCTGAGGCCGTTCCCTCTCCTCCTGTCCCTGTTTCCTGGAGCAGAGCCCGACCCCTCTGACTGTTCCCTCCTGTCAGGAGTTGTGCAGAGCCAGAAATTCCCCCTGAGCCTCCTTTTGTCCAAGCTGAGCCTTTTTCCCATCTCCCTCAGCCCCTCCTGGTGCTGCAGCCCCTTCCCCAGCACCGTCCCCTTCCCTGGGCCTGCTCCATTCAGATCATGCTTCTTCCAGTTTGATAAGGAAAAAATTCTGCTGAAAAATGCACGTGTGCTCCTGACAGGACAAGATGTTTGCAGCCTTTGGTTGGCAGGGAAAGCTTCCACCATCCCAGGCTGCTCCAAGCCCTGTCCAGCCTGGCTTGGACCCTGCCAGGGACCCAGGGGCAGCCACAGCTGCTCTGGGCACCCTGTGCCAGGGCTGCCCACCCTCACAGGGAGCAATTCCTAATTCCCAATATCCCATCCAGCCCTGCCCTCTGGCAGTGGGAGCCATTCCCCTTGTCCTGTCACTTCAGGCTGTCCAAAGTCTCTCTCAGAGCCCTTTGGGCACTGGAAGGGGCTGTTATGTCTCCCTGGAACCTTCTCTCTTCCAGGCTGAGCATTCCCAGCTCTCCCACCCTTTCCTTGTAGGACATGATATTGATCCCACTACAAAATGGAGCCTGTTATTCAAACCAGAGTGGATAAAAAGTCATGGCCTGCATGGAAAAGAGCTATCTTTGTGCAAGCTTTGATGTTAAAAAATAGTAACTTGAACTCACAGATGTACTGATTGCCCTGCTAAAAGAAGACGTGGAATCTCTTCTCAGAATTACAGCATTTTAATTAGAAGAATGTGAGCAAAGCCTTAATCTTGTTAGTAAGGATAGATACGGATGAGGCAGAAACAAAATCCACAGCAACACAGTCCAAACACAAAAAGCTGTCTTGGAGGTTGGTAACAGCACCAGAACTGCTCCCTGCCACTGCTTTTCCTGCAAGACTAAGCTTGACACTGACTAAGTTGGAAGAAATTGCTCTTCTGCCTTGTAGCACTGAACTACATCACACACAGCTGTTTGAGAAAAAATAGCTGAAATGTGGGAAAGGTACTTCAGATTTACAAACCAAATCCACAGAAACTTGATTATTCTCTTTAAAGTTCTTTTGAGCCCTTCTAAATTCTTGTGACATTCAAGGATCAATAAGAATCTCATCTGTAGCTGATCCTGACAGATGTTAATCTTTGCCTTGGCTTTGCAGTCTGCTCGAAATAGTACTTGTTCCTTCATGTCAGGCCTCTGGCAATGCTTACAGAGCCAGGATTACAGTCTCCAGTCAATCCCATTTGTGCTGTCATTAACTTTCTAAACTGTTCCCCATAGCTGGCAACCTTTCCATGCTTGGAGATCTACTTAGTGGGAAGCTGGGAGAGTGATGGGTTTTGCCTGTCTGGAATTATTGTGCTTTTAATTGAGATTTGTTTAATTTTGTCATTAAGTCCATTTACATTGTAGGCATTTCATGACCATGATTACACACTGTGACTGTACCCTGGCTGTGTTTTGTGCCATTTACCTATTAAAGAAAGAGAAAAAAGCTCTGTGTTTACTTAAGATTTTTACAAGTAGCCTTTGTTTTTTTTCTTCCATTAACTTATTTAATAAATTAATTTGATTTTTGGATTGGAAAAAAATTGCTCATCTGCACATTCTGTGCTGTGTTTCTAAGGAAGTGATAAGATTTATTTGCAAAAAAAAAAAAGGTGAAGATTCAGTATCTGCTTGTCTGGAAGGAATTGTCAGAATCCATAAACATAGGAATTATGGTTGATTCCAAATTAGGGACAAATCTCAGTCAGAAAGCAACAGGAATGGGAACATTTCTCCTGCAAACAAGGTCTTTATGGTGAACAGGAACCCCTGAGTGCAGCATTGCTGTGTGTGTCCCTCAGCCACAGAGGTGTGGGAGGGCTTGGAGCAGCCTGGTCCAGTGAAAAGTGTGAATGGGGTGGAATGAGGTGAGATTTAAGGTCCCTTCCAGCTCAGACTAGTTTGGGATCTGTAATTCCATGATTCTCTGACAGGTCAGGTGCTGGTTTTTGTTTTTTTTCATCCAGGACTCCAACAGTCAGGGGTGCAGGTGACTTTCCTTCTCTCAGAATGTGAGTCAGGGGTGAGCAAAGCTGTGGGAGTTACAACACCAGCTCGATAGTGATCACTCCAGCAGCTGGGGAAGCCAAAGTCTTGCTTCTTAATAGGAGAAAAGAAAGCTGATTAATCAGCTGAGTCATCCTGCTCTGCCTCAGTGCTGGTATGAGTGGCATCCCTATGGATCAGCCTATTCTGAGGGAAAAGCCAAACCATAATCAAGGCTAATTGACTGAGCTCAATCAAATGTTTCAAAATACCACCCATGAGTTTGACATCAAATAAAAAGCAGGGATATTCCCAGTCAGACAGTTAATTGCTTCCTGAAAACCTGTTCTTTGCAATAATTTGAAGATTTTCACCAGTGCTCCCTTCTGTTTCCATTTCCGAGGCTTACAGCAGGTTCCAGTGTAATGTACAGATTAACAGACTGGAACAAGACACTTGCCCTCTCCCATTTCCTCCTTCTGAATGATGCTGCAGTGCTGCCTTGTCTCTGGGACAGAAAATTTGCAGCCTTCAGGAGTTAAAAAAACTTTTTAGAAGGTTTTAGAAAGATAAATAATACCAACTTCTTGCAGCTATTAGTACTAGCACCAAAAATTGCAGTATTTTAGAGTAAAGCCAGTAGGCTTTTTAGTCATTATGTTTAGAGAATGAATCCCAAAAGGATATTTCTATGGGTTTTGTTTCTTACATCCAGCAGAAATTGTTTCAAATAGGAGCTGAAATGTCAGACTTTTTCCAAGATTTTGTCTAGTGGAAAATAACGGTGGTGTTTAAACATTTGTCTGGTTCCTGATGTGCCCCAGGTTGGGTGCAGTGATGAAAAATCAGCAGCACATCTGTAAATGAATCATCATTTTCCCTGCACGCACATGGTTGCACAATTTTATCAACTGCTTGCTTTGATGAAGATTTAATATTTGTCATGTGTAGCTATCCCATCCCATTGTAATATCAGAAATTCCAAGCATAATTAACAGCTGAATTTGATGTCACAGTTAATGAGCCACAGTCCTCCTGTGACCCAGGGCAGCAGCAGACAGGGTGAGGCAGCCTTCAGTAGTCACCAGCGTTATCAGGACTGCAGTTACACCACCAACATCTGGCTGCAACCCCTGCAGCTGGATTGGGCATTTCCTCACCTGCCTGAGTGTGCAGAGCAGGTGGGAGGACCAGCTTTAGAAAGAGTCAGTATGGAATTCTGGAATGGTTTGGTTGGAAGGGACTTTAAAGCTCCAACCCCGACACCTCCCACTGTCCCAGGCTGCTCCAAACCCCAAAGTCCAGCCTGGCCTTGGGCACTGCCAGGGATCCAGGGGCAGCCACAGCTGCTCTGGGAAATCCATTCCAGCCCCTCACACCCTCACAGGGCAGAATTCCTTCCCAATATCCCACCCAAACCTTTCAACCTTTCTGTCCAAGCCAGTGTTTTTGGGTTTCACAAAGGATCTGGGAGTGCTGAGTCCAGAGCTCCTGAACTGCTCCTTCAGCTTCTGGGACCTGCTGGGAAGGCCCTGCTGGGACCCCCCAGCTCTGGGGTGGGGGTTTGGCCTTTGTTGTGGGGCATTGGTCACAACAGGGGGTGCAGAATGATTTAATGGGTGTGGTGGTGTTCAGGCAAAGGTTGGGCTTGATGATCTTGGAGGTCTTTTCCAACCTTAATGATTCTGTATTAAATTCCATTATCTTTTTCCCATATAATCATGATTCTGGCTTCTTCACTTAAAAATCCATCACTCTTCTGCAGCAGGACATGAACACAGGTGCCACAGGCTTCACACCTTCTGTAGCTCCACAAAACACATCCAGAAAACTCCCAAATCTGAATTTCCATGGGGGCTGTGCCAACATTAATTAGTACAAATAACCTGATATATTTGAAATTAGCTGTCGTTATAACACTTAACCCCATATGTAATCATGTATTTTCCTTGTCTGGATATTTGCTGTGCACCTTGTATTTATTACAGTGTTATTTGTTAATGCTTTTGTGTGGTGGATCGGTTGTCAGGAAGAATCATTGTGGTTACAAAAAAGCAGTTTTATTGTGAACTGGAAGGAAGATAATATGGATGAGGATGGAGTGGGAAGAGACAGAAGATGACATTTGTAGCCAGATGTGATTTGTAGCATGAAAATATTAAATGCTGTTGAAAAGTGGAACTCCACAAATTATTGACACAATTGTGGCAATAGGAATAAATTTTTCTTTGGTTTTTGCCTATTTTTGCTACAATTTTCATCAGATGATGAATACATGACAATTTTACATTGTCTAACACAAAAGATTGGCTTTTTATTCTATTTTTTTAAAATAACATATGTCTAGCAGATTTCTAACTGAACCATTTTTTAAAAGAAGCCTATTGTGATTGAATTCTGCATCTTTCAACTTTTCTCTGGGGTTTCTTTGCATTAGTATTAGGTTCAAAGAAATAATCAAGGTCTAAGCCTTACAAGATCATTTTTTGCCTGCTTAAAATGAAAACCAGAAGGGAGTTTTGCTGATTAGGTGTGTACTTCATTTCTGTGCACAATGCCAGAGTTTGAATACATGTCACTTGGAAATGAGCTTTTGCAAATTCAAAGGGAGAGAGTTGAACTTTAAATCTAAACTTTAAACCTCACATCAGTTTTCCTGTGGCACCGGAGATGTGTTATTTTCACAGAAAGTATTTCCTTTTGCTTTCAAGTGATGGCACAAGCAAGTGCTGAAGACTGAATTCAAATTACTCAAATTCTTTTTAAAATTTGAAATATTGAACAAAGGGGAGAAATTCTGCAGGTCATTAAATGGTTTTCTAATTTCTTTGCTTTCAAATAGGAGGGAAGAAATGAGAAGGAAAGGGCCACACACTTTTCTGTCTCAGAACACACAGAGAAAAGAAATGGTCTCCAGAACAGCCCTGCCCAGCACCAGGAACGTGCACCCAGGGAGAGCTCATGGATCAAACTCCCTCTGATGCTTTGGATTCTGGATGCATTGCCAAAACCAGAAACTCACACTTTTGGCATAGATAAAGTGTCCTGGAATGTGAGGCTGAGCAGTGACCCCTTGCACTCTCCTCTTTACAGCTTGTGCCTGAGAAAATGAGGAGAGGAAGGTTTGGCAGGAGGGACTGGGGCAGGGAGTGTTTGGATCCAGGCAGAACGAAAACGTGGATGTTGAATGTTCAGAGCACTGATAACACCAATCATGGAATTCCAGGATGGTCTGGGTGGGAAAGGACCTTAAAGCTCATCCCATTCCACCCCTGCCACAGATAGGGACACTTTCCACTGGCCCAGGTTGCTCCCCAGTAATGAGGGAGGGAATGGAAAAGATTTTTGACATGGAAAACAAACCCACACCTCACTTCAGTGACTTGTTCTGTGCTTATTTGTTGCTCTTGACACACTTCATGTACTTTCTCCTCCCAGGTAAGAAGTGCAGTTACTGTGATCAGTTTTGCTGAGGGAAATGGATAAAATTGCTAACACTGAGCAGAAACAAGAATAAACAACTTATTCCTTTTTAGAGAGAACCCTTCAATGTCCTCTCAGCACAGGACAATGAGCAGGTGAAGAGCCCGTTGTCTCTGACTGGGGCAAATAGAAGATTCTAAGAGTAAGGTGAGCATATTATGGTATAAATAATTCTCATAAGTAGATTGTATGGCTGTGGGAAAGCACCCACCTCAAACCTCTCGCTGGTCTGGTGCTGGGACATAATAGAGTATCCCAAAAGGATCATGGAGTAATGGGCAGGAAATGATGCACTTGGAAAATGCAGGCTGTGTCATCCACCACAGGGCAAAGCTCTTTGTGAACAAGCACAGGTCTTTTCTCCTACCTGACTCATCCAGCACATAAAGTCATCAAAGAAAAAGAATAAAAGCTATATTTCAAAATAGAAAAACATATATTCTATGAGCCAGAACTCTTAAATGCATCCTAATCAAAGTATTATGTAGCAATGAGGTTCCTGGCAAATCCCCATCACAAAAATTTCTGAATAATTCTTTTTTTTAAAAAAAAAAAAAGCCTGGATCACATATGGTTATGTCAAGAACAAAATAAAACAGTCAAAGTGAAGCAGTGAACCAGACCAGTAAAGAAATCTGTGTCACCTTTCTACTCACACAAAAGGGGGAAATACAAAGTGATTAAGAATTGGAAAAAATCAAAATTGTAGTTTTTCACCTTGCAAAGCCATACTTGGCAAATAGAAAGTTATCAGACACATAATCTGCTTCCCAGCTGTATTTACACTGGGCTAATTTACTCATTGGAGGCCAGAACTGTCAGAATCAGTGTAATCTTTATAAATTTCCTGGGCAGTTAACAAGTAAATGAAGGCAATTTTCACTGCACCCTCTTTAAAGCAGCAACATTTTTCATAAATAAGGCAGTTCAAAAGAAATTACCAGCCCTGAGTTACAAACCAGGTTCATTTTCTCCATTAGTCATTCACTTAATTCATTTATTTGATTTTATTCTTGGAGGAGCTTCATGTTTGCGTAACATAAATGGTCATTATGGTTCAGTGGGCATTGTGGTGTTTGTCAAAGGTTGGACCTTATGACCA